CGGCGTTCCCTGAACCGCGGCCAACACAATGTAGGTTGCACTGCGACTTCGGCCAAAACAGTAAGCTAGCATGGCCACACATTCTAATCGGATTTGGTTGCTGCAACTACGGCTAGTCTGGATTCAGACGAACCTTACGTACCTCGAATAATTCTGTCCGGCATATAAACAATTTTTATATCTTGGTGAGGTTATTGGGATCAGAACGGGTGTCATTAAAATTCATTGAGATCGCATGCAAAATGCATTGCGCTGCAATGCGCTGCCTGTTACGCCGCTTATGGCACGGAAATAACGCCTATACCGTCCCTATCACATGCTTACCTTGCTACTGATATGTGTATAGCCATTTACATTTCATCGTATTCACTTCTTAAAAGATTGTTTGTCAGCAACCCGCCTTCATTTCAACTTTAGTAAATTACATTCGCCATTTACAAACAAGCAGACCAAATCCAGAGCGAGTCTTAAAATAAGCCTGTTCTGCGCTTGTACTGAGCGCGGCAGAGGGCTGATAGACTCGCTCTGATTGCGTCTGATTTGTTGTAAATGCAAATGAATTACTAAAAAGTGAAATGAAGCGGGTTTCTGAAGAAACAATCTTAAGAAGTACAATACGATTGATAATAAATTAATACACATATCACGTTAAAGCAAGGTAAAGCATGTAGAAGGAATCGGCTGGTTTTTTATCACGCGCAATTAGCGGCATACCCAAGCGCGATTAGCAACGCAGCAGTTTTGGCATCGATCTCTAACCGAAATTCAACAAAGGTTTGCGTGTGAGGTTTCTAAAATTTCCTGTGTACGACAATTGCTGTGCAACATTCTTCTGAATCCTGGCACTTTGAATCATTAGTAGGCATGCTGCTAGTTGGCCTGCGGGGTGATTTCCTACAGGCGCCGTAGCGGCCTGCTAGTAGTTAGACCTGCAGACCCGAGCCTAACGAAATACGGCCCTCGAGACCGTTAGTATCTTCGAACCACCTTGGAAAGGGCCCTTCAGTAGAAAGGCTAATTTTCTTAGTTAGGGGTTTCAAAATTAGGAAAGATCCACGCCACATCTGTATTTATCTATACGCGTGGTGTATTGTTGCACCGATGCGAAACCACTTGTCTAAAGAATTTACCTATTTTGAAGTGAATTGCACCTTCCATGTCACCCACGTTCACCCATCCATTCCTCTTTTCTACTTGCTGAAAAACGAAATTCACATTAAAATAACGAATGACAACTAAATATTAAAGAAAAAAACAAAGTCATCATTAGTTCACATTTTGTTATCAAGAGCACCCCCTTTTTAAGCAACTATTTCTCCAGGAAAACACTTCTTTGTGAAGTTTCCAGGCGCGTAGCTGCCTTTAGGCAAAAAGGCACGCGCCTGCACATCTTTTTTTTAAATGGTTTAAAAAAAAAGATGTTAAAAAGAGTTTTTACAATATACACAAAACAACATACATAAATAATGATAATATACATAAAAAAGATATGCCCCACTCCACACCATAGTGTGTTCTATTCTAGTTCTATGCTCCACACACAGACTGAATGATTGAGCAATGATAGGTCAATCTCACTACAGAGATGAAAATTGCTTTCTTGTTTGTTGTGGCAATCACCTAATCTAGGGGCTTAGCCACCCCCTTCTGTTGAATTAACAACATGTTGACACACATACCAATTAATTATTGCCAAGTATTATAGTCACGCGGCAGTACGAAACGGCACCTGATGCATGGGTTAATCATGTAATTGAAGCAGGTTACAACCATTTTGCAGCTTTTTCACCAAAAAGAGTTTTGCTGTTGCTCTCATCCCAGCGGTGGTTACCCTCTACATATTCAATAATAAACGCGACCTAAACAATGCTCCCCGTACATCAATCAATGCCCCGCTGCAAGTGCAAGAATTGTTCTACTAAAAATATAATTGTCGTAGTCAGAATGAAGGCTGTACATGTACTCAAAAGTACCTCAAATAGCATCACCTGCAGTCTACATTTTCCAAATTTTCTGGGGGAGGACCACCATACCCCCCGCCTATTTTTTAGTTCTGCCTGCACATCGTTGACAGGCTAGCTACGCCCCTGGTTTCCATCACCCCGTCACTAGCAAGTGTTACACCTTTTCTTTCAAACTTATTCATTATATGCACACACACATATATATATATATATTTATAGATACACACATATGTACTCATGCACGCATGCACACATGCACACAGACACACATACATATGTATGTGTGCGTACGTCCGTGCGTGCATGCGTCACGGTGCGCGTATAACTGTGCATGCATCTTACCCCATCCGTCCGCAGAATCTTGCTCTTCAACCACGACAGGTAGTAGACACGGATCTTGTTCTTCTTGCCCGAGATCGTGACGAGAATGTTCTGTCCTTCCAACACCTCCATCTGCTGGAAGCGCCGCCTGGATATCAGCTGGTACACTACGCGGCAAAACACACAGACGCGTTAGAGCCACGCTCAGTCTGTAATCGTGAGATTTTCTTGCATATTCTTACCCTCGTATATACTTATCATAGTAACTTATATCATAGGCTAATCACCTCTCAGCATTACACATCTTTCGTATTTTTATCTTCTACAATAAATAGAGAAGCTTACCTAAGTAGAGTGGGCTTAGAAGTACAGATTAACTAAAAATAGTAAATGGCAATAACGAAATGAATCGAAATATGCTAAATACTAGTCGATGAACTAAAAACTACCCCCTATTAGCTGTTGAAGTGTTGAATGCTCTTAGGTGCTATTTAGGTGGTGTGTGTTTAAAGCACAGCAGGTAAATGTGCAGAGTCACTCTCATTAGACTCATGTTCAAATGCGTAGGAATAGGTGAGAAACGACACATCGCTGAACATATACCTTTTCCCTGTCCGCTTCTATCTAGCAGCATCAGTCCATTCTCTGTTCCTATGAGCAAGTTCACACCTGCAAGAGAGACAGACTGTTACACGCGAGCGGTGACAAAACATTACTCTGTCATCTCTTGCTTTTTTAGTCCTTACCGGTGGTATACCATATATTTGATAGTTTTCAAGCGGGTGTGCGATAAAACACCGATAGACATACAAGCTGCCCTAGATCGAAAACATTACATTTCTTTCATGTACCACATGTAATGGATGAATTAACTGAAAAACCCATAAAGGTTATATTCCCAGAAAATTTGATGCAGAGATTTTCACACAGAATAGTCATTGAGACATAACTAGCACATCGCCTTGCCAGCTGCGCACAGCCCTGCCCTACCTCACTACACTGCCGCCCCTCTCACACCAATCCTGACTGCCTCCGACCTCTCCCCGCCGCGCGCTGTCCCCGCCCTCAGCCTACTTCCTAGATCGCCCGAAAACATTTCTATCCGCGTTTCACGTGTCACTCACCGCCCAACCCTACCCGCTCCTCCATTTCCATCCCCTTCCCGACCTCACACCTCCCCGCCGGGCCGCCCGCGCACCGACTCACGCCGCACCAGCGCGCCGCAGCAGCAGGATCTCCGAGTTGAAGCGTTCCTTGTACTTGCTGTATCTCGGGCGTGATCGGCTGCAGGCCCGCGTCGTGCGTCCGTCGGAGTCACTTCACGTCCCCGGTGGCGAACGACATCGCGCCGCGGCGCGGATCGTCGCTCCGCCCCCTAGGCCACCGCCGGGCCCGGCCTCCGAACCCGAACCCGATGAACGACTTCTGCTTCTGCTGCAGGAACTGCGGCGGCGCCTTGCCGCCGATCGCCATGCGGTACTGCGGGGTGGCAAAACAAGCGAACGTCAGTCGGCCGGTCGGCGAGTTTCTCGCGGCGCGGAAGCGCGCGGTTTGTTCGACGCGTCATTCGTATTTTCAACGTACGTTTTTTTTAAAAGCATTTTCTCGTCTACACGTCTGAGTGGCAGCTAACGGTTAAAATTATTAGGAAAGATTGCGAACGACGTTAGTGCTGACGACGGCTACTCTACGAATTTAGTGATTATCGAATATTATACAAGGGAACTTGTACAGAGGATCTTACATATTAAATTACAGCTGAACGAAGGAAATGCGACTGCTTACAATTCAAACTTATGTTATTATTTATTATTTTAAGGAGATTTGTTTATTGTATGAAGTTTCTCAACATGAAATGTCACTAATAGATATACAACGACTAACAGAGCTATAACAAAGCATTATTTCCACACATTCCACAAGCAGCCACACTAGAGTCAAGCAATAAAGAGACTAGACAACACAAATAAAATAAAATGATGGCAAGCAAGAACAAGGGAGTGATAGTAAGAGCGAGAGAGAGGAAGAAAGAAAGAGAAATATTTAGATCGAACAAGAGTGAGAAAGAGATAGAAAGATAGCAAGAGTGAGAGAAAAAAAGAGTGCAGTACACATAATGCATATGAGTCCATGCAGAGAGATAACTGTTGTGTGTGTGTTGCAAACAAGGTACAATGGGAATATCGTCAGAAAGCCGAGGTACGTAGAGGTACATATAGGAACTCTGTAGACTCCACAGGTGGGCCATCAGTGATCACTTAGAGTTTAATAATAACTGGAGCAGGAAGCAAACGGGGCGACGCACGTCGAAATTACTATACAACGACCGCAAATGCAGTTTAACTCTCCTGAACGTAAAGGAATTTTCAAGCTCAGAGCCGCAGCGTTATAGACTTTTTCATGACCGAGAGATCAACGACTTTCGGGGAAGCAACGATCGGCCGACGCAGCGTTTTTGTAAAGGAGAGAGTGCGGTGCCAAGTGCAGCAAAACACATCGGCGAAAAGACTCGAAAATGTAGTGGAATACGGTTCGCGGCTGTGGTAGCGACCACTGCCAGAGACAGACGATCGTGAACTATACGGGAAACACACAGATTTGCCACCGCAAAACAGAAAAAAAACACACAGCTATGCCAGAGGCAGCGGGCGCCTCAAATCAAGCAGAAGCGACAAACCACGCACACACAGACACACGTGAACACGCACGCACACAAGAAGAGCCCCCGATGCAACGTCCACCCGCCCCCACCCACTCCGCCCACAAAAGCTCTACGTGGTGCAGCAGCAGGCATAGCAAACACAATCACAGAGTGAAGAAACAGAGTGGCTTACTTGGGTTGAAGTTAGCCCATTTCTCTGCAGAAAAAAATAAGGCAAGGTCAAGTGTAAATTTCGAGCGCACGCGTGGAATCGGATAAAGATCGGTGTTGTGCGCGCAAAAACGAGTGTCTGCGACGGCTAGCAGTGAGTTCGGCAGCGGCGGAGCATGCATGCAGTGTACGCGTCGTCTAACGCGATCCCTGCCTTCCTCCTTGACCCACTCGACTCGCCTCGACGCAAACTCATACAAGATCCCCCCGTACAACACCCATGCCTATTCTAAACACTTGCGTAGGTTGACAACATATGTTCAGCAACCATTACAGGACAACGATGGTTATTTCTGCAGTTGTGTGGGGTGGGGGGGGGGGTTGTGTCAGTCGTCTGCTACTTTGAGACGCAGGTGCAATTCTATTTGTTTATTTGCGATTTTTTTGCTTCGATTAAACCCTGAATGACTACATGAGACTACTGTATGCATACAGCTAGGGGCAACAGCTGATGTGGACGTGCAGCCACGCTGGGATACACTCCCTAAATTAGTTTTACGGAATTGCAAATGCGATATCATAACAAGTCTCAATTCTCGTGGCCTGGGATCGAACTGACCTCCACCTCAAAATTTAACTACCTCATACGAACCAGAAACTTACTCCCAACTTCATTTTCGCACGCATTATGAGATGACATACTATAGGAGTAATATAAATCTTTACTATGTCACTCGTGAAGGAGGATTGTGTCCGACCAGAGGCCCGTTTTCAGAAACAAAATTGATCTTAACATTAGTCTTAACGTTAACTTTTTCCCGCAGACCACACCCCTATACACTTTGTATGAGAAACTCGGAACGTTACCACATTTCTGTCAACGTTTATATTCCTGCTTATATTCCTCCTTTATGTTTCGAAAGAGTTAATATGTCATGACTAATGTTATTGTGTACCAATTATGTTTATTTCAGACAACGGGCCTCAGTTTGCTACACGTGAATAATTTTCCACATGACGAATTGTCTTTGGAACCAATTTCTCCAAGGACACGTTACCCAAGCTATTCTTAACGACAGGGAGGAATACAAACTACTCTGGTTAGATACAAAGAGGTTATCTCCTGGGAGCTTCCCGGGCAACCCCAGTCCACTGAGCACTGACAAATATTTGTCAATATTTTACATTTTTCATAATTTGTCATTATTCACCCCCGACTGACGCAATCGCGTCAATCGAGAAACATCGTCTAACATCTAAGAAATGCTAATGACGCGCATCGACGTCGGCGCGAGCGGACGAACGTACCTCCTCGGATGTGGTCTTGTCCTGCGGCCGCTGGGGGCTGCCGGACGAAGTCGTCGGGGAGTTGGTGAGTGGCAGGAGGTCCGGCAGCACGCTGCTCTGTCGCGAGCTGGCCGCGCCGATGAAGAACTGACCGGTGTCCTGCGGAACAAGAAGTCTCACATTCATCGCGCATTCCGTTCACAGATGGTGCCGCGTGCTAGCGGCTATTACGGTGTAGCGCATGAAGGGAGGGGAGGAGGAAGAGGAGATAGAGGAAGAGGATGAGGAAGATAACAAGGAGGAGAGGAAGAAGAGGACAAGGAGTAGGGGGATGAGGAGAATCCAGCGATAATGCAATTCCAGGGTAATTATATGCTCGCAAATTCACTCGCAAGGTATCGAAGCAGTAAACAGTTAGTTTCATAGGTCAACATGCGCTTAGGTATGGCATAGCACAAGGGCAGTTCTCTTCACCACAAATCGCCTCACAATACACGGACTCATAAAAGGCAAGTTGGGTAACAATGAAGAACTGCTTGCTATGTCTTGCTACTCTTATGTCAGAGGCAGAGCCACTCGGTGGAAAGTCATAGAAAGGTGATTTATATTTGTCACAAAAATGCGCGGACACGTACGTTTTGCCCGGAGGAACTCTGCTCCTGCCTCGTCGGCATGGAGATGGGTCGCTCCCGCTGCAGCCGTTCCAACTTCTTGTTGTTGGGCTTCGGAGGCTGTGACTGCCGCTGCGCCTGCCTGGCCCGCTCCCTCTGCAGCAACATCAACCACCCCGCACACGTCAGTACGCGCGACAACACACGCTAGACGTACGCGAGCAACTACCGGCTCTACTGTAGTATATATAATATAATCTATATATTATAATATATATCGATATTATCTAGATCTAGATATATTATATATCTAATATATAAAATACTCTTGACTACATGTAACTATGGAAACGTGGGAGAGGCTGCACTACGTGTAACTATGGAAACGTGGGAGTCTGCTTACCCGGCGGTTCACCAGAGTCCCATCTTGCTCCTCATCCTCCGCATCCGGCGTGGTTGCCATGGCGCGCGGCACTGGCACCTGCACCGGGTTGCCGTCGGCTACGCATCCGAACGGCAAGCAAATAACGATTAGAATCTCTGAAGAATATATTGACTCTACTCCCACATTATGCATGATGGCCCTAATGTGTGTTTGATATTAGATTTGTCACTTGCTATGCTAGAAGCTTTTGGAATACAATTTTATGATGATATGATAATGTGTATACATGTTTTATAATAGAATTTTGTGTTTGCCGTGCTCACAAGCCTTCACTATGTTATTGCACCATATTATGATAAGAACACGTTTTTCGTGCTTGTTACACTCACAAGCTTTCACGACAAAATTTTGGTTCGTTTATCACAGCTGTCTTGCTGACGAAAGACGCTATGAATATCATTATGCACGACACGTGTCAGACGCAACTGCCACAAACACCAGACGAGAAATAAACGAACTCAGGCACATACGAGACTAATAAACAAGATGCAAACTTGGGACTTACTGACTGGCAACGTATCATACTCATCAGAATCTTCCCGTGCAGCAATAAAAAGTCACAGTTGAGATTAACACATCTGGCTTCTGGTTACTACATGACTCCAACTACTGACTAGATTACTCCAAAACGCAATTCCCGCAACAAATAGTGAGGAGTGTGCGTCACCCTCAAACAAACACACATGCAGCGACTAGTACAATAGAACAATGAAGATGAAGATGGATAAATGGGATATATGAAATAATTGGGATTCGTTCTCTTCGTTCGTTATCGACTCACCATCGTGCACGACCATCGTTAGCAGCGTGTTCTCATTGTACGAATCCGGAGGCTTGAAGAAGTCAGGTCTGCACAATGAATGGGTGAGAAAGCACATCAGCAACAATGCTAGATATCTCGTAAGACAATTTTTACGTGTACGATGCGGGCGAGCCAATTGTGGTCTAATACAAACTCCCAGAACAACTTAGAACTCATTGACATTCACACTACACATTACTCACCACACCCATTGTAATTAATAAATTATATAATAATCAACCAACCAATCAATTAAATACGAAACTTAATCGATCAAACATTATCAAAATTAAACAATAAAATTAAATAACCTGAAACCTGTCATCTCACAACACCCTTACAACCCTAAAACCCACTCTACCGTAACCCCGAACAGATACCCCACTAAAAAAACACGCCGCCAACTTCGTCACGACTTCTAGCAATGAACCACGCCACCAGGGGGCACTCACAGCGGCTTCGGCGGGTCGGATGCGAGCAGGGTGCCGTCGTCCTTGGCGCGCTGCGTCACGCGCTCCTCCGTGTCGGTGCCGGAGTCGTCACCGCCGCCGCCGGCGCCGCCATCTTCTTCCTCATCGCCGAGAGTTATGGACGCCGTCTGCTCACCGTTTTCACGCGGTTCGCGCGCCGCTGCCGCTGCCGTCGCAGACCCCCGCCGCACGCTGCCTGCCGCAAGCTGGTTCAGCTGCGCTGCCAGCACCTCCAGGTCCTACAGAGGGCGCCGGTGAGAGAAAGACAGAGAAAGAACGTTGCTTAGTCGTGCAGGCGTGTGACGACGGAATCGGCTAGAGAGAGTACCGGCGAGAGAAAGAGAGCACATGTGTGACGATGGAAGCTGCTACTGCAGTACGAGCGTTACCACTCGTGTGGTGGAAGAGATCAGAAGGGGCGATTCGCATAGGGAATTTCATTGGTTGTGCCCAACTGTTGACGAACGGACGGACGGACGGACAGACGGACGGACAATCATGCGATTCTACAAGCTGCATCTGACTTCGTCAGCTGAGCTAAAAAAGCTAGGAGAATCGTAGGAGGAGCTAGCACTCACCTCAGGCTTCCTCCTTGCGGGCGGGTGCGCGTCCCCATTCTGATGCGGCACGGCGACGCTCGGCCCCGGCTCCGCCGCCGCCACCATCTGTGCCTGCTGAGCGGGCGGGTTCGGCACGACTGCACGAAAAAACACAAGAACGTCAGCGTCAAAACGCAACAACGACAGCAAAACACTCACTATGCTGTCTCCACTATATGCTTTAATATGCTTCTCCACTATAAACCCTAATATAATTAATAACCTTACTATGGCAGCCTCATTATGCTGCAGCATTATGGCAGCCTCACTATGCTGCAGCACTATGGCGCAGCACTCACCTATGAGGCGGTGTTGCTGTAGAGCTTTAGGCTGCGGCGCTTGCTGCACCTCGGGCTGCCTGCGAGCCTGGGCCGGCTCCGGACGACTCGCACGCTTCTCTCTGTCTCGCCTGCGTGAACGAACACAGCTCAGTATGCGATCGATGGCTGCCCACCGCCCCCAAGACACGGTACAGTGTGTACACGTGTATGTATGTACATATGTACAGAGCGGAGGCTGCCCACCGCCCCCAAGACACGGTACAGTGTGTACACGTGTATGTATGTACATATGTACAGAGCGGAAGCTGCCCACCGCCCCCAAGACACGGTACAATGTGTACACGTGTATGTATGTATGTATATATGTACAGACACGCATGTACATGTACAAATATACGTACATGACCAAACACATATGTACACACGTGTACGCATGTGCATACGTACATAGGTACATGTACGGACACGCATGTGCCTGTACAAACATACATGTGATTGCAAAAACGTATATGCATACGTGTACGTTTATACACGTACATGAACAAACACATATGTACACACGTGTACGCATGTGCATACGTACATAGGTACATGTACGGACACGCATGTGCCTGTACAAACATACATGTGATTGCAAAAACGTATATGCATACGTGTACGTTTATACACGTACATGAACAAACACATATGTACACACGTGTACGCATGTGCATACGTACATAGGTA